CGTATTATATCAATTGCCGCACAAATAATTCTCAGGATGGGCCAATACCCAATATTTATGATTAAGATAGATATTATTGATGCTACATGGGCCCCAAGACCAATATGGCCCACTCATATGGAAGGGAACACCCACGAACGTCAGGGAGAGGTGGGGAGGGCGTCACGGTGAAGGGAGAGTGTAGTGGAGTAGCTATCAACAACTTGTTAGCAATTAAAGCAAAGGTGCCAAAGCACAAATTGCACAATGCTCCACCTACCACAACCCATTTTCTCCATCATGCCCCTCCTCTCCCCCACCAAACTCTCTTTCTCATTGTTTATATATATTGAACAGATTCGTGGCACACTTTTTTTGTACACAACGTTAGAAATGTGTTTTTGTAGAGCTTACTTCGTAATATATTTTAACGATTCGAACCATCTATTTTTTAGGTATTTCCTAAAAAATTATATTTACCAAAAATCATATAAATTTGAAACCATATGACCGTTGAATTAATATTCGTTTTGGGTTTATACATATTCACCCACTTAATCCTATCTTATTCTTTTTTTTTCGTTTAATCCTATCTTTTTCCAAATCACCCTTTTTAACATTGTTTATTGTTCTACTTTAATGACACTTGAATATAATTTTGGTCATAATCCAATCATTTAAGGGTCGACTTTCCTATTAAGATATAGGACATGTACACATTTGTTTTGGGTTGATATTTCCTTTGAGTAGCACTTTGAAACAAGAAACGATAGAAATGGTCAGAGCTTTCGTCATAGTTTACAATAGGTCCATACACTAAAAATTCATGGACTGAGGTTGCTGAATTTAAAAAATAATAATAATATACATATTTAGAAAGCCTTTAAGGGAGGGAATCTTCATTTTTTAAATAGAGATTAGTTGTGATGCTCACATCAAATTGAATTTCAACGATCTGAACCGTCTATTTTAAGTGGGATCTTATAGATTATCCTTGCAAAACATTAGTCAATTCGAAAATATTTGAGACATCTAATTAAGTTTAAAGAAATTGACGAATATTTTGTTTTATAAGAAACAATGAAATTTCATCGTGATAATTAAATAGGTAAATGGTTTCGGAATAAATTAAATTTTTGTAAGGATGAACTATGAATCAAGACTTACAAAATAGACAAATCATTGAAGTTCGATGTAGAATGGACTCTACAACTAGTCCCCATTTTTACCCCAAAAACGAGGATCCCTTTCGTTAAAGGGCATATACATATCCAATTCTAAATATATGTTCATAGATCAATGGTTTTTGTTAAGTTGAGGGACCCTAATTAATTGATTTTAGATCATGAACAAAATCTAAAATACAGTGAAATTTGGACCAATCCTAAATACACACACACACACATATTTATATATATATATATATGCGCGCGCGCGCGCGCCATGCGTTTGCTTCTTGCATCAACAATTAAAAGCGATTAATTAATGTAGCTCCTACCTTAAGATCTAAATTACACAAAAATTGTTGATTTCCACGCATGTGCGCAAAAAATTGACGATGGCGGAGAATAGTTCATCATAATAGAAGGTAATTTCACATTTGTATAAAAATGAAAATTTGAAACCTTGGTGATGTTGTTGATCGAAGTCATTTGTTTGGTTGGTGAAGCCATGAAAATGGTGAAGAAGCAAGAACAAAGACAAGTGCATGAACCCCTAGTTTAATCTATATATAGTTTGGAGACTTGACTAATTCGCAATAGTTTGAATCAAAACTTAGACTTATGTCACTCGGTTTTGGTTGGCGAAAATAAGCCTTGGTAAGTTTTTGAACAACCCCAAGCACGAGCCTCTCCAAACATTCTTATCCATTCACAAACTACTTCTCTTGCTTAACTCTACCACTTCCTTTGATTATAAAAAGGGAACTTTAACAAAAAAAACTTCCGGTACTGTTCATTTTAACGAAAAACCACATTTTTACACTAAAAAGTCAATCATGGTACTATTCACTTTACCCTTTATTTTGTCCTTATCATTAAAACTTAAAGTTTTCATGTCATTTTATTAGTTTTCCTTTATAAAAATGGTTAAATGGTTGGGCAAGTTTCGAACCATCCTCCCTCCCCTTAATAATAATAGATTTACAAAAAAAAAAAATAGTATGTGAACATAAAATCTGTATAACCATCACGGGGTGGTCTAGTGATCGGGGACGAATTTCATGCTTGTATTCCACATGGCACGTCTTAAGTTCGATTTCTAGTACAGGTGAATCACAAGATGGTAGCCAGGGGGAGGGTAGATTGTCTCTGTGAGTCTTCTCGGCCCCTAGAAAGGTGGGGACTGCCATAATGAAACCACCAACGAGTCCCTTTTTTTTTTTTGGAAAAAAAAAACATAAAATATGTATCAATAATTTGACTATTTTGTTCTTGTAGAACCTAAGGTTTGTTTTTCTAGTAGGCACTCTCTTAAGCGTTTTGGTTAGGATTTATTATTTTAGAATAAATACGTTGAAATTTTATTAAAAATCTAAATGCTTACTGAGACAGGTGTTTTTTTTGTAAAAAAAATAAAAAAATTCTATAAATCAATAACATTTCTAAGTTTTTTCAAATGTAATAAAAATGCTTTCAATCTTCCAGAAGCATCTCAAACATGTCGGTATGTTCCTGAATTTAAAGAAAAGAAGATGGGAGAATCTGTGAGTTTGATGCCCCTTAAAATATAGTCTGTCCCATTAACAACATGTTGTAACAATTTGTCTCCACAGGACGAGAAATGTTCTTCCCCACCATAACATTTTGGGAGGAGTTGTTCCTATCAAGTGTCAGGGCCAATATTATCTCTATAATTGTGTGATTTGACAATCAAACGACCTTATATTGAAGGAGTTTCAAACACAATATGTAATTCAAGTGAGTATATAGAAAAATGGGAATTACCAAAATGCTATAAATTGGTAGAATTAGAAACATTTAATTAAACCCAAGGGTGAGAACACAAGTGCCACATTCACCTGGGGGGGGGGGGGCATTTTTGCTCATCATTCCAAATTTTGTTGTATGCTCACCATACATTCAATCATCTTTCACGAGTCTTTTCACTTAATTTTATTTAATTTTCTACAAAATTGAAAAACTAACATTTAATGTGAAAGTTAATTAGAGTTACGTGAAAGAACATATGACAAATAATTAGTTATATGGTGAGCATATACCAAAAATGCTTCCCTAAATTGAGCATTTTTGCATGTTTCTAATTTGGAGAAATGGTGTTGCTTGCATGCTTGTCCTAGAAAATACAATGTTAAATGTTTTTAAAAAAAAAAATTCAGGAAATGTTTTAAAAGTTTTTTTTTTTAATAGGAAGTGTTTTAAAAGTTTAGAGCAAGCAAAAATCGCTATACAAGCAACACTTAGAGTTTAAAATATTTATGAAATTGTTAATATTTTTGTCGAAATATTCGAAAAATCAATGATCAATATGGAAAGGGGGTGAAATGTAAACTTCACCATATATCAGCGAGATATAAAAAAAATAATAAATATCGATGATATTTATCAATTCACTACAGAAATTTGCCATAACCCATTGCAGAATTTAAACTTTTGAATCTTTTTTTTAGAAAACTTTCTCTAATTTCGACTAAATCTGAATGAGTTAATATACTCATCCCTTTGAAAATTTCCATAATTCTGTCGAAGGCAATCAATATCGATATTTCCATAAATTTGCATGTCAATATTTTGAGCTATATCGATATTTTAAACATTGTTAACATGTAACATCCCACATCGACCAACGGAGAGTGGGTGATGTGCCTTATATGTACATGCCCACCTCTTATAGCACAAGACCTTTTGGGAACTCACTAGCTTTGGATTCCATTGGAACTTCGAAGTTAAACGAGCTTGAGTGAGAGCTGTCCTAGGATGGGTGACCCACTGGGAAGTTCTCATCTGAGTTCCCAGAAACAAAACCATGAGGGAATGGTAAGCCCAAAGCGGACAATATTACGTTACGGCGGAGTCAGACTGGGATGTCACATAAGACTTGATAAAAATTGAAAAAGAAAATTACTTAATTCTCAAAAAAGTATAAAATATGAAGGTTAAGCTAGTGAGAAAGTGGAAATCATATTTTGGGAAAATGGGCGTTGCGATAGCCTTATAAATCTCAAAAATATTGTAATTAATATTTAGCACATGTGTAATTGTGTAAATCTTAGGTAGTATAAGTTTATGATTACTTTTTGTTCTAGTGATTTTTTTATTAGATTTTATATTACTTAGGAAACAAGTTTCTCTCTCCTTATAGTTTACTTTAGATAAAGGCATTGACATAGGGGGAATACATACTACAATTTTTCTCCACCTTATTCTCTCCACTCTCTCTCTCTCTCTCTCCCCGCACACTCTCTCTTCGTTTAGCAAATCGCCACAACACATTATAAGTACGTTCATGTCGTTGCGCTAAGCAATCTGAAATGTATTTTCTACTATAAACTAGTTCACAATTATCATCACTCAATCGAGGTTCTTCTAAAAGCAAAGTCTTAATTATCAATACTTTTCAAATTGAGTGCATACAACATACACCATGATGCTTGAACCTAACTTTTACGCATCTTGAATTATAGATTATGCTTAAATTGTGTACGCATTCTTCTTCGAATATATTATGAATTGATTATTGTCGAGAATTTGCTCTCCGTCGCCGTTCGTTGGTTCCCGTCGTACCATGGCTCGCCCCTACCCAGATTTGAACCCATATCCATGGGGGCGGGAAGAGGGGAGCTTTTACATACTTACACGTGAGTAACCCCATACGAAAAGTTCATTAAAAAATTAAAAATGTAACGCCAATAAAATAAATTTACCCAAACACGTTCCAAATTGTTTCTGATTTGTTTGTGACGGAGTGGATCCAACCGTCGATCTCGATTCAGATCCCATCAAAATTACAAAATAAAAAAAAAAAAAGTAGGAAAGTGAATGATAGAGAAAATCGAAAAATATCAAATTTTCTCCCAAGTCCTTGTTCTTTGCAGTAATAATTTTACAATTTACGGGTCTAAAGAATCAAGTAATTGCACTAATCACCCCCCCTAGATGGACTCCAAGGAGTCATATCAATGGGGTAGCTTCCCAGCACCCTCAAGAACGACGTGAACTCCTGAACCTCCGCCAGCGCGTTCTGTGCCCTAACCTCCGCCATCGACGCCTCGAAGTCCACGTAGAACAGGTACTCGAAGTGACTCGCCGTTCCTTCGTTCGAATCGCTCACCAGCCTGATCGGACGGTTCCGGTGCGGCCGCGACTCGATCTTTGTCAGGCTGATGTTCCGAAAGGCGAACGCCGATAGGACCTTGAACAGAACCGACGTCCCCTTGTCATGCGCGAAGACGATGCTCGTCTTGAACGGCCGGTCCGTGCGGGGAATGATCGGCTCCCGGGCCAGCATCACGAACCGGGTCACGTTGCTCGAGTCGTCCTGGATCCCGTTCTCCAAGATCTCCATGCCGTAGAGTTCGGCGGCACGTGCCGAAGCGATGGCCGCCGTGTCGCGGAGGTTGTTGGCGGCGACGAACTCGGCTGCGCCGGCGGTGTCGTCGACGGCTTCGCGAGTGACGTTGAGGCCGAGTTTCGTGAGAGTCAGCTCGCACTGAGCCAAGGCTTGAGGATGCGAGATGACTCGGTTCAAGTACTCCTTCCGGACTCCGGGGAGGGCTAGGAGGCAGTGGTGGACCGGAAGCTGGACTTCTCCGACGATGTGGAGGCGGTGGCGGAGGAGGAGATCGTAATTGCGATGAATTGAGCCGCCAAGGGAGTTTTCAACTGGGAGGACTGCTCGATCGGCGATCCAGAGCTCGACGGCTTGGAAGGCGACTTCGAATTGGTCACAGGGGATGGCCTCGCATTTCGGGTAGGCTTTTCCAGCGGCGGCTTCGGAGTACGCCCCGGGGACGCCTTGGTAGGCGACACGCAGCTGGGCTCCGTGCATCGGAGCTGGAGAGAGGTCGGTGATGGTGAGCGCCCTGGGAGGCGGAGAAGACGACTTGTCCTCCGGGGACGACGACGACGACGAGAGCTTCTCCATGGGGACAATCTCGAGGTCAACGGAGGTCTTGTGGCCGTTGACCGAGCCGACATGGTCAGCGTTTCTCGATTTGTCAGATGGCGGCTGGGGCTGCTGGGAAACGACGTTGCTGGCAAGAATGGCGCAGGAGCTCTGCCAGTCAGCGCGGCTGGAGCCGACGCTGTTGGGTAAGTGGACGGAGTCGGAGCGGTAGGCGCATTTGAGGACGGCGAGGCGGGGTGGGGCGACCCGGGGGAGGCGTAGGGCGGGTTTTGTGAGATTGTAAGTTGAGGGTGGAAGAAGAGCCTGCATTGTGTTGCGGTGTGTGGGGAAGTGTCGGGGACTCGGATGGAATAAAGAGAAAAGAATGGGAACAGAAAGGGAAGTTGAGATTTTGTTTTGTTTTTTGCTTATATGGTGAGAAAAATGGGAAACTGAAAAAGCTTGGTGTTCTCTTTGGGAGAAGGAACGTCAAGCTGAGAGGGGTTGAGGCTGGCGCTAGGTATTTATTGAGAGAGGGGGAATGAGTGAACGAGTCCGTTGGGAGGAGATGGAGGGCGGGTTTGGTAAAATCCCACACCTACCCTCGCTCGCCTCACCTTCCCTGATTTTTTACATGAAAAATGATAAGACTAAAATGGCTTTTTCAAAATGAAATTTTATATAAATTTTTTGTCGCTTAAAGTTTTTAGAATATATTTTATATTGCTAGTACAGAAATTAACGTTAAGTTGTGTAAAATGACAAAGAATTCATGAAGGATCTTATTTTTAAAGAATCTACTTAACATTTCTCTTCTTACAATTTTTTTTTTTTTTGAATGTTTTTCTTTCTTCATTGGTTCATTTTCTAGTTTCTTCTTTTGGATTATTCTTGTCATTATATATATATATATATATATATATATAAGAATTTTATTAGTATTCTGTAAAAAAGCGTAGTATTTGGGAAAAAAATATAACACGTGTGGGATCCACTAAAATGTGGGTTTCAATATTGCATTTGAAAAGGTGGGACATTTTTTTTTTTTTTTTTTTTTTTTTGTCGAACTTTCTAGTTCTATTTGTTCATTTTTAGTTCACTATTTAAAAATCAGCTTTTAATCTTGTTTAACTATTTGATTAATGTTTGAGAGTTTAACTAAATAACTGTTAGGTCTATTTATTACACAATAGTTACATGTTTATGAGCTCATTTGGTGTACGTAATTAGATTATAATGGATAATCTACTAAATTAAAGATAGGTTGAGGGAGAATTTATACAATTATGACTACGGACAACCTAGAGGACAGAAGAATTATTCATAAATAAAACCTATTAATTCCAATTCTCCTTAATATGGTCGGATTAGAAGGGATGGACTTCTTTCATAGCTAATCCTCGTCTAATTCCCTCCAAATGAAGACCATTCACTTCCACCTTCAATATACCTTGAAATTTGAGATTTATCCATTCCAATTCATTCATGCGTACCAAACAAGCCCTAATGGTTTTTATTTTCTTGATTTTTAGCAGATTTGGTCTTTGAAGGGTGGCTTAAAAGACAAACAACACATATTATTGTGTAAAATGGCAGAATGAGAAGGATATCCGAAAAGAAAGAACGAGAAGATCAAAATATGAAAGTTGCTAACTATCTTGAAATTGAAGAAGATAGGTAGGACGAGAAATTAGTACTTAAATAAGCATAAAAAATTATTAGCGTAGATTTCCTCGCTAGTAAAGGGTTTTAATTATTTCGTTTGTGCCTCTCTTGAAGAATTGCTTATATATAGTATTCCAGAGTATTGGATATTCCGAATTTTTTAACGGTTAGATCTTCAATAAAAATTATAAAAATTAAAGATTTAATGGTTAAAAAATCTACAATATTCTATACTCGAAAACACTGTAGACTGTTTGTCCTCGGGAAGCATTACTCTTTGCTATATATTAAAGTGAGAAGTTGAATCTGTGCCAGCACATAATATTGTGGAGAGTTTTATGTGAGCCAATCCGGCACATGGAGCTCAAAGTGGAAAAAGGCAATGCTCAATGGGCACCCCCGCCACCTTTCACCCTCCCATTCGCGAGCAACCTTAATGGGAGGATAGGTTAAGGAAAAGACACGACAAGATGCTGATCACATCGAAGTTGAATTTGTTGCATCACAGTTTGATATAACATTCACTGTATATTATTCTAGCTATTTGTGCAGGTCTTGCGCTGGGTATGAAGTAAGACGAACAAACAAGATATATGTTCATCAACACTTAAGTAACATCCTGTTCTACGTCTGAGAACTATCATGGTACAAGAAACGCGGAGTTCTAAAGCAGGCTAGCAACTTTGAATATGTTGATGGCACCCGATAAAGTATTAGAAAAAATCGAAACATTGGTCGAAACTGTTTTTTGTGTACGTGTTTAGAGTTTCGATTGATACCAAAGTATTTTCTTCTTTTTGTTTGTCAACTGGCGCCGAAGTATTTTAATTGGTCTTTTTTTATTGGGTGGATGTAATTAGAACAATTTAGTGATTGGACCTGAACCAAGACATGGTTTCTTACTTGATCGTTCAATCGTTTGGTTAGACGTCAAACTTAAGCGCGACATCTTAATTTAATTCCAACCTTGCCAATTCTTGGTTTGGTTTTGTTGGTGGCAAAACAGCCAAGGAACATTGGGAACCACTTGAGAAAAAATATAAAACCGAGGATGCCGGTTCAAAAAAATTTGTCGTGGGCAAATTTTTGGACTACAGAATGGTGGATTCCAAGTCCATTGTCTCTCAAACTGAAGATCTCCAAAAAAATCATCCATGACATTCATGTTGAAGGGATAATGATCAATGAGTCTTTCCAAGTGGCGTCCTTTATAGAAAAACTGCCATCTTCTTGGAAAGAGTTTAATAATTATCTCAAGCACAAACGTAAGGACATGACCCTTGAGGATCTCATTGTAAGGCTGAGAATTGAAGAAGACAACATAAAAAATGAGAAGAGCCTGGTTTCGAGTATGGAAGCCAAGGCTAATATTGTTGACGGAAGTTCATCAAAGCAAAGGTTGAAATTCCAGAAAACTAAGAAGAAGGAAAAACACTTTGTCCCTGGTGCGAAAGGCAAAGACTTCAAGAAAATCAAGGGAAGTTGTTGGGTTTGTGGAAAGCAAGGCCATAGGGCTCAAGAATGGCGCCATCGAAGGGATCAAGGTCCTGGAAATCAAGGCAACAACAACTGCGCGAACCTGATTGAAAACAATGTGGATGCCTTGGCTGCAATGATTTCTGAAGTCAACATTGTATCTGACCATGCTGATTGGTGTATAGATACCGGTGCGACTTGCCATGTATGTGGTGATAGAAATATGTTCTCTACGTACCAGAAAATCGAGGGGAACGAGCAACTGTTTATGGGAAATGCATCTACATCTATTGTGGTTGGAATAGGGAAATGTGTTCTGAAATTCACTTCTGGAAATGAATTAACCCTCTTTGACGTCCTGCATGTCCCCGATATAAGGAAGAATCTTGTTTCTAGTCCTATCCTTAGTATCAAGGGATTCAAACTAGTTTTTGAGTCCAATAAGTTTGTACTAACTAAAGGGGGAATGTTTGTAGGGAAGGTTTACCTTGCTGATGGATTATTCAAACTAAATGTACTTGCTAATACTATGAATGAAATAAATAATGCTTCTGCTTATATTGTTGATTCGTCTAATTTATGGCACTCTAGATTAGGACATGTAAATTTTCGTTCTCTTTTTAGAATGCATAATTTAGGTTTGCTGCCCAAAATTGATTATCTAGATAATGTTAAATTTGAGACTTGTGTAGAATCGAAATTTGCAAGTCAAAGCTTTAAATCAGTGCATGAAAAATCCAATGATTTATTAGATTTAATTCATAGTGACTTGTGTGATTTTAGATCATATCCAACTCGTGGTGGAAAGAACTATTATGTAACATTTATAGATGATTTCAGTAAGTATTGTTATGTTTATTTACTTCATAGTAAAGATGAGACCTTAGATATGTTTACATATAAGGCAGAAGTTGAGAATCAACTTAACAAGAAGATTAAAGTCTTAAGGTCCGATAGGGGAGGAGAATATGAGTCTCATGCCTTTGCTGAATTTTGTGTCATACATGGCATAATTCATCAAACAACAGCCCCATATACACCGCAACAAAATGATGTTGCCGAATGGAAAAATAGGACTTTTACACTGTGTTTGGATGGAGAATTTCTAAATTATCACAGAATTTTAAATGATGGGAATTACAATTGACAGTAATTAAATTCCCGTTAATTGAAATTTCATCGTTTGGATGTTGGATACATAGAAATTACAAAATGAAGGGAATTCCAAATTTCATTGTTTGGATATTCTCTAGAATTTGTATTAAATAGAGGAATACAAATTTGAATAAAAATGTTAAACTGGTTATAAATCATCAAGGTTAATGTCATGAAACAAAAATCATTGAGCTATGAGAAAATACGTTTCTTTCCCTCACTCCCTGAAAAAAACATCAAGGTTAATGTCTCGAACCCAATTAGCATACTTAGACGCACCTAATTGTGCAGAAGCCGAAATGAGACCAACCAACGTAATCTCATCAAGGCTTTTATTCTAACTAAAATCTTACTGGAAAACTAAAATGGGAAATATAATGAAAATAATCCTATGCGCCTCGTGAAGTAAACAATAATACCATATTCTTTTTCTTCTCGACTGGGAGTGTCTTCAACATGAGAAATTGTTTGTCATTTTCGATCAACCAAGCACATGCTTTGATTTGTTCTTCTTCACTGAGATCTGGTATTGCATTTACTTCATCATATACCTCTGTTGGATCAAGCTTCTTTGTGTCTGCACAAATATATTCTTGAAAGGATGAAGCCATCTTGGCAAGTGAATCTGCAATCATATCTTTAGGGGTGGTTGGTTTTTTCTTTGTATGAGGCACATCAACAAAATTTGTTGGTTTTCTCTTACTTTGAGTCTTCTGAACATTGGCTGAAGTAGGTGATATATTATTAATAATTTCAATATCTTCTAAACCTTGCGTATCACCATCCAAATCAATATGATTAGTTTCATTATGCGGAGGAGTCATAATCTCAACAGCTTCCACACCTGTTTCAGCACCCTCACCCGTGGCTCTATCTTTGCCACACAAATCCACTATATCATCCCAATTTGGAATGACCTTCCAACGAAAACTTTTAGCGCCACTATGTGACTACCAATCAAAACATAAAAATCAAAAAAGCAAACCGTAAGTATAAGAAGAGTTAAAATAATATCACACACACAAAAGAAAAATAATGAATTTGTCATACCTTCACGTACTCTTGCCAGACATGATCTTCATCTACACTTATCATCTTCTTGGTTGCATCCCAACTAAATCCACTTTGACTTAGTATATCACTCACAATTGCATAGA